TCTGGGTATTTCTGTTTCATATCTTTATGAAAATAGAGCCTAAGTGGGTAGGAGCCCACTGAAATCTATATGTGGAATTGTTGTTGTTAGTTGCGAAGTCACGTCCAACCCATCGCAACCCTATGTACAATGTTCTGGAGGACTTCCTGTTCTCTACTATCCTCTGGAGTCCATTTAAGCTCACGCCTACTGCTTCAGTGACTCCATCCAGTCACCTCATTCTCTGTTGTCCCTTTCTTTTGCCTTCAATCTTTCCCAGTATTAGGCTCTTCTTCAGTGAGTCTTTCCTTCTCATTAGGTGGCCAAAGTATTTGGGTTTCATCTTCAGGATCTGGTCTTCTAAAGAAGAGTCAGGGTTGATCTCCTCTAGGACTGACCGGTTTGATTGCCTTGCAGTCCAAGGGACTCACAGGAGTCTTCTCCAGCACCATCGTTCAAAGGTCTCAAGTCTTTGCCGCTCAGCCTTTCTTATGGTCCAACTTTCACAGCCATACATTGCAACTTGACTATACGCCTTGACTATACAAACTTTTGTTGGCAGGGTGATGGCTCTGCTTTTTAGAATGCTCTCTAGATTTGCCATAGCTTTCCTCCCCAGGAGCAAGCATCTTTTAATTTCTTGGCTGCAGTCCCCCATCTGCTGTGATCTTGAAGCCCAGGAAAATAAAATCTGTCACTACCTCCATTTCTTCCCCATCTATTTGCCAGGAATTGAGAGGGCCGGATGCCATGATCTTAGTTTTCTTAATATTGAGTTTCAAGCCAACTTTTGCACTCTCCTTCTTCATCCGCATCAAGAGGCTCTTTAATTCCTCTTTGTTTTCTGCCATTAGAGTGATATCATCTGCATATCTGAGGTTGTTGATATTTCTCCAAGCAATCTTAATTCCAATTTTTGATTCATCTAGCCCCACCTTTCTCATAATGTGCTCTGCATATAAGTTAAATAGGCAGGGCAACAGTATACAGTCTTGCTGGACTCCTTTCCCAATTTTGAACCAATCAGTGGTTCCATGTCTAGTTGTCACTGTTGCTTTTTGACCCGCATATAGGCTTCTCAAGAGACAAATAAGACGGTCTGATACTCCCATCTCTTTAAGAACTTGCCACAATTTGTTGTGATCCACACAATCAAAGGCTTTAGCATAGTCAATGAAGGAGAAGTAGCTGTTTTCCTGGAACTCCCTAGCTTTCTCCATGATCCCGTGTATGTTGGCAATTTGATCTCTAGTTCCTCTGCACCTTTGAAATCCTGCCTGTACTTCTGGTATTTCTTGATCCACATACTGCTAGAGTCTAGCTTGTAGGATTTTAAGCATAACTTTACTAGCATGTGAAATGACTGCAATGGTACGATAGTTTGAACATTCTTTGGCATTACGTTTCTTTGGAATTGGAATGTAAACTGACCTTTTTCAATCCTGTGGCCACTGTTGAGTTTTCCAAATTTGCTGGCAAATTGAGTGTAGCACTCTTACTGCATTATCTGTTAAGATTTTGAATAGCTGGAATACTGTCACTTCCACTAGCTTTGTTGTTGCTCAACTTTCCTAAGGCCCATTTGATTTCACATTCTAGGATGTCTGGCTTGAGGTCAGTGACCACCCCATCGTGGTTATCAGGGACGTTAAACTTGTTCTTGTAAAGTTCTGTATAATTTTGCCACCTCTTCTTAATCTCTTCTGTCTCTGTTAGGTCTCTTCCATTTTGGTCCTTTATCATGTCCACCTTTGCATGAAATGTCAGATTCCTATATCCAATTTTCTTGGAGAGATCTCTGGTCCTCCCTATTCTATTGTTTTCTTCTATTTCTTTGCGCTGTTCATTTAAGAAGGTATTCTTATCTTTCTAGCTATTCTCTGGAATTCTGCATTCAATTGGGTGTATCTTTCTCTTTCTCTTTCTCCCTTGCCTTTCACTTCCTCAGCTATTTGCAAAGCTTCCTCAGACAGCCATTTTGCTTTCTTGCATTTCTTTTTCTTTGGGATGGTTTTAGTTGCTACCTCTTGTACAATATTGTGAACCTTTGTCCATAGTTCTTCAGGCACTCTGTCTATCAGATCTAATTCCTTAAATCTATTTGTCACCTCTACTGTATATTCATCAGGGATATGATTTCGTTCATACCTGAGTGGCCTAGTGTTTTTCCCTACTTTCTTCAATTTAAGCCTAAATTTTGCAATGAAAAGCTCATGATCTGAGCCACAGTCAGCTCCTGGTCTTGTTTTTACTGACTGTATATAGCTTCTCCATCTTTGGCTAGAGAGCACATAGTCAATCTGATTTCTGTGGTGACCGTCTAGTGATATCCATGTGTAGAGTTATCTCTTGGGTCGTTGGAAAAAGCATTTGCTATGAACATCATATTCTCTTGACAAAATTCTATCAACTTGTGCCCTGTTTCCTAATTTTGTACTCCAAGGCCAAACTTGCCTGTTATTCCGGTTATCTTTTGGCTTCCTACTTTAGCATTCCAATCCCCCATGATGATAAGGACATCATTTTTTGTGTTAATTCTATAAAATGCTGTAGAGCTTCATAGAACCTGTCAATTACATCCCCTTCAGCACCAGTGGTTGGGGCATAGACTTGGATTACTGTGATATTGAATTGTTTGCCTTGGATTCGAACTGAGATCATTCTGTCATTTTGGGGATTGTATCCCAGTTTTGCTTTTTCTACTCTTTTATTGACTATGAAGGCTACTCCATTTCTTCTGAGGGATTCTTGCCCGCAGTAGTATACCTGATGGGCATTTGAATTAAATTCACCCATTCCTATCCATTTTAGTTCGCTGATCCCTAAAATGTCGATATTCAGTCTTGTCATCTCTTGTTTGACCACGTCCAGCTTGCCTTGATTCATGGATCTTACATTCCAGGTTCCTATGGAGAAAAAATCTTTACAGCATCGGATTTTCCTTTCACCACCAGATGCATCCACAGCTGAGCATCCTTTTGGCTTTGGCCCAGTCGCTTCACTCTGTCTGGCGCTACTAGTACTAGCTCTCTGCTCTTCCCTGGTAGCATTTTGGGCACCTTCTAATAATAATGCCACATTAATTAGCAATTCAAAGTCCTTTTGCATCACTCATTATGCTTAATTTTGACTGTAAGTGCTAGATGTTATCTGATACAATTAACACTAGGAATGGATTCAATACACAATCAGTCTCTAAGGACTAAAATGACTGAAAAATATCTTAGCCTAATTTAAGGGATTTTGTGTTTTCCCCCTTTCTCACCTTTTAATAGTATTTTCTTGATTCAAGAGCAGCTAAAATGAAAAAAGGAGTAAAAGGAAAACAAGAAATAAATAATTCCAAGTAATATCTTAAGAATGATAATATAAGAGTGTTGGATTTCAAAGTACATGCAACCTTCTAGAAGGCTAGAGGAAATGAGAAAAAGTATCTCTGGCTTCCTGACTAAATAACATCAGGAAGACCCAAAGTAAAAGTAACATGAAATATCAGTGGGGATAAGAGAAAATGAGCTTTTTAGAATGAGCTCTTATACTACTCTCTATTTAAAATCAGACAATGATTCAGAAGCTAAACTTTTATTTTTATTATTTTACTTTGCTATCACCTTGCCTTCTGTCTTTTCAGAAATAAGCTCTTCAAATTCAGAGGTATTCTCAGGTAAATAAATATGGGACTGTACAAGTCTTTAAGTCTGCACCATAATAGAGATTCAATATACTATATTTTGTATGAATTGTTGTATAATTGAATGTATAACTTGCAAGGAATTTAACTATCTAAACAAACAAGTAAAGAAAAAGCCAAATGAAAATTATTGTAGAATATAGAACTGTAATGAACAACATCAAATTGGGCTACAAGGTGAGAAAATTAGTATTTTGATGGAATTTTTGAGGTTTTGTATTATTAAACATATTTACAGCCTAGAAAGGATTTTCTTTCCCACGTGGCTTGAGTTATCTGAAGGTCCCAAATAATTCAAAGCGTCTACATCAGTATCTTCCTTGGAAGCAGTTTCGTGCAAATATTGCCTACCAAATTCTATACCTGATTGGAATACTTAGGAAAATTGCAGATCAGTTATAAAGAATAGAGGAATGGGGATACATAAAATGGAAACCAGGGCCTTCTCATTAAACAGTGTATCATTTAACTAGTCATTGAGTTCATACAACACACGCTATTTGTTTGGCTTCAGCATAGTGTTCAATTATTGTATCATATTTTGCAAGTCACGGTAACAGCTGTGTGTCTTGGCCTAATACATTTACATGTTGAGTCTTTCAGTAGCTTTTGATTCTTTGTCAACTAACTATAAAAGTATACTTTGTAGAATATTAGTCACTTTTGCAAGACTGCTACAGTTGCTTTGAAAATTGTTCTTGGCTATTTCTGCAAGCACATCTTTGCTATCTATGCAACTGTGTCTACACATGCGCTGATAAGCAGAAACAGCTTCTGAAGACTAGAAGCTTGCAAAAAAGGAACCCTTCCTTCCTTAACAGTTTGGAGAAGTGCTTTATTTGCTCCAATGCATCTTCAGATGTGCCTGCATAGACCTAATGATCCACAGCTCCTATACTCAATCTGTGGCTTTTTAAGTTTACGCATCACATCTGAATTCCAAGCTAAACTATTTTAGTTACTGATGTACTTAATGCTTTGTTTATCCCAGTATTCTAGCTTTCATTTCTTTACAATCATCTAGATGTTATCCAAACAGCCAATATAATAACCTTCATAATTGTGGCTCATTTAATAAATACTTAGTTTTATTAGTGAGTTGTTTCACTCCTTGTAACTTTTATCCGTTTACTGCTATGGTTTTATTGACTGTTAATACTATTTGCAATTCTCCTGAGAAGACGTGTATTCTGAAGAGTAGCACACCAAGAAGTCACAAGGTACGACATTCAGCACACCACTGCTCCTTCCGAGCCCCTTCCTTTGACTTTTGTTTGTTCCCGTCGTAGCAGTTGAGGAAAAACAGCGTCAAAAGGGGAGGGGCCACGAGAGTAGGGAAAGGTGGAAGCCATAAGAAAGATTAGGTTCCTGGCGCATTATCTGCACCTGAGCAGTAAACGCCTTATCCTGAGTATTTTGGTTAGGAAATCGACCTTTTCGCACAATTTGATTTTCGTGCAGGTGGAGAGCAGGGTGTATGCGGGGTTCTTTCTCTTTTCCTTCCCAATTCCCGTGAGGAGGAGGAGAAGGAGGAGGAGGAGGAGGACGCCACTGCTGCTACGCCAATTCATTTGCCTGAAACTCGTGTTTTGCATAACAAGAGAAAGGTGTGCGTCGTGCATGCCCGGGGACAAGTGCTGAGCAGCGGGGGAGGAGGCTTCTCCGGCAAGTAGCATGCATGGCTGGGAGCTCCGTTAAGATGCAACCTGCGTGTGACAGGGCCGACTCGCTGCTCCATGACCGTAACGCCACAGACACCAGAGGCCAGGAGCAGCAAGTGCAGTTGCGGCAGAAGCTGAGGGAACTACCGACGCTGCTCCGGAGTGGACTCACGCTGCGGAGAAAACGCTCAGACGGCGGAGGCCGGGTGAGTGAACGACGCCGGGGGCCGCGTGCTCCCAAGAATTTACTCGTCTCTGTTACGGGGCTTGGCCTCAGCAAGCCAGTGGGTGACTTGGTACCCAAGGAAGAAATCTGTGTGTGTGTGTGCGCGCGCGCGCGTGCTATGGAGCATTTTGCACTTTGCTTATTTTTAAAGTTAAAGACCCCCGACACGAAATTGATACCGTTATTCGTGCATAATTACCACGAAAATAAAACAATTGGCGCTAGGAAGGGACAGTAGTGGTATTCAGTAAGAGAGTCGTATTCTCTTAAACTCCAGACTTTAATCTGCCTGTGTCATAAAGGAAACCTGCCTTTAATCTGTGTGAGATTTGCAAAGACCATGTAATCTCTGTAATGTTTTTGGGAGGGTGGGTAGGGGGCTATTGACCTCAGTTCGCTGAAATTAGGCATCCGCAGCTGGAATGGAGGCCATGTTGCAGAGCAGATGTGAGGAGATAATGCAGTTCTTCGGGAATAATAGTTCACTCAAGAGCCTCTAGATGTGCAGCTGTGGGTTATGCACCACCGAATTCAATGAAATTGTATCCTAAGTAAACACAGATTGTATCCAACAATGTAATTTTTTTTAAAAAAAAGAATGGCCTTGCAGGGTGGGCTGGGAGAGCGTTGAAACAGCCTTGGAGTTTAATCAATTTATCAAGGTACCAAGTTTTAGTTGGCTATATAGTTTTGCATGTCTAGTCAATTTCTTGATTCAGTGGAATATTTACTATAATTATCTACACTAAAATAAGCCACTTAATCTGTGAGGTACATCAGTCAATATATTGATATCTTTAACTGATTTACTGTTTAACCTTATATATAATTGCTAAGGCTACCCATTGCAATGGTTAGTCTTCCTAATCAAACCCAGGTCTCACATATGCTATCAAGGAATACAAATTAAATGTGAGTTGGCCAGCTTGAAGAAGCGTTAATGCAAATATTCTGAGAACAGAATATGCATGGATTAATCATGGATGTGGGCAACATGCCTAGAATTAGGAATTGTAACTGGTTGGTAAAGTCAATATCAGTAGTACACAGAGTAGCCTGAAGCTATTAATTACTAGTTTTGTATTTTGCTCCATAATTTGCGTATACCGTACATACCGGTAGTAGTCCTAGGCTTTCTACCACATTTGAGCCCAAAATGTGTTGCTAAGTGAGACGATTGTTAACTGAGGTTTGCCCAATTTTATGACCTTTTTTTTGCCACAGTTAAATGAATCATTGCAGTTGTTAAGTGAATCTGGATTTCCCATTGACTTTGCTTGTCTAATGGTTGCAAAAGATGGTCACAGGACAGCAGGGGACAACACTGCAGCCGTCATAAATAGGAGTCAGTTGCCAATTCAGTTGTCTGAATTTTAATCACATGACCATGGGGATGCTGCAATAGTCATTAGTGTGAAAAATGGTCATAAGGCACTATTTTTCAGTACTGCTGTAATGTTGAACAGTCACTAAACTGTTGTAAATTGAGGACTACTTGTACTTTTCTGAAGAAATATCAATGCCTCAGTGCTACAGTAAAAGTAATTGATACATTAATTTTTGGTTATAATCTAATATTTGCTCACCTGGGAGTAAATATTGCATTTAGTCAAAATTATTTCTGAATGAATAGTATAGAAAAACACTATTGATTAAGCAATATTAAGACTTCATCATAATTTTTAAATAAAATTTGTTTCTAGCTGTGATGTAGTTTTCCTGATGTTTGTGGATAAAAACAACTATCATCTCTCACTGACTGGAGATTAGGGTTGAGCAGTCAAATCTCTGGAGCCACATCTTGCCTTTCCCTCCTAGATGAAGCAGGCACGTGTTGCACTGTGCATTATAAGAGGATTCTCCTATAAGATAAATGGAGGATGTCTCCTAATATGATGTTTTCTGTCAGCAGTTTTCATAGGCATTTCTAATTAAACTAAGAATCGAAAAAAAACTTTTCTATCTAGATTGAGAAATCCTTCATTTTAATACCAAGTTGCTAAGAAGTCAAATCCATGCATCCATGAACATGCTATTCTGTTTGCAATAGCCTGAGGACTTGGTTGTTGTTTTTTTAAAAAGAAAACAGTAATTACCTAACCCACATTGGAATCTAAGAAAGCAAGCATTTGTCAATTTAAGATAAAGGTAAAAGTTTTCCTCGCACGTATGTGCTAGTCGTTCCCGACTCTAGGGGGTGGTGCTCATCTCCGTTTCAAAGCCAAAGAGCCAGCGTTATCCAAAGACATCTCGGTGGTCATGTGGCCGGCATGACTAAATGGCAAAGGCGCACAGAATGCTGTTACTTTCCCACCAAAGGTGGTCACTATTTTTCTACTTGCATTTTTTATGTGCCTTCGAACTGCTAGGTTGGCAGAAGCTGGGACAAGTAATGGGAGCTCACCCTGGTACGCGGCACTAGGAATTCAAACCGCTGAACAGCTGACCGTTTGATCGACAAGTTCAGCATCTTAGCCACTGAGCCACCACATCCCTCTATTGTCAGTTTAAAGGGGGAGATAATCAATTTTTAGAAATAAATGATTATATGTCATCCAATTGTTATCAACTGACCATATAGACCAGCAGTGTCAAACTGGTAGCCTGTGGACTGGATGCATTACGTGCAGGTTACGCCCACCCCAACTCAGCGAATGAGAAAAACATCATGAAACATCACATAATGGCAACATGACATGGCGAGTTTGATGCCTGTGATATAGATAGTCCTTTCGTAGGATGATCGTAGGGTTCCAGAAGGAGCTTGGGGAGATATCTGACTCCCTTGTCCACAGTCCGGCTGAGTCCCTGGTGCCTGCCTGGAATAGGGCGGCATCTGGGGCACTGGACCGGATTGTGCCTTTGCGACCTCTCCATGGCAGTGGATCCAGGAAAGCTCCCTGGTTTACCGAGGAGCTCTGGGAGATGAAGCGCCAGAACAAACGTCTAGAACGATGCTGGAGGACCAGTAACTCCGAATCTGACCGAACACTCTTAAGAGCCTTTATTAGGACTTATTTAGTGGCCATATAGGCGGCAAAATGTTCGCATTTTTCTGCACTTATTGCATCCGCTGATTTGCGCCCAGCTGCCCTATTTAGGGTGACTTATTCCCTCCTTAATGTAGGGGGAGTGGAGGAGCCCTTGCAGAGTAGAGCTGAGGAGTTTGTGCAGTTTCTGTCGGATAAAGTTGCTCAGATTCGAATGGACCTGGACTCTGATTGGGCAATTCTGACCGAGATGACGGGGGCAGATTTTAGTCCTATTGTGTGAGATGAATTTGAGCCTGTGACTCCTGAGGAAGTGGACAAGGCTGTAGAAGCGATGAGTTCCTCCACTTGTTTGTTGGACCTGTGCCCCTCTTGGCTGGTTTCGGCCAGCAGGGAGGTGGCATGAGGCTGGCTCCAGGCTTTAGTTAATGCATCCTTGAGGGAGGGGTCCTTCTCATAACCACTAAAGGAAGCGGTTATAAGGCCCCTCCTCAAGAAGCCTTCCCTGGATCCAGCAGAAATAAAGTACTTTCGTCCAGTCTCCAACCTACTCTTTGTGGTAAAGGTTGTAGAGAAAGTGGTGGCACTTCAGATCCTGAAGGAAATGGATTATCTAGACCCTTTTCAGTCTGGCTTCAGGCCTGGCTACAGCATGGAAACTGCTTTGGTCATGCTGATGGATGATCTCTGGTGAGTCTGAGATGGGGATCATTCCTCTATCTTGGTGCTACTTGACCCCTCGGCAGCTTTCGATACCATTGACCATGGTATCCTAGGACGACTAAGGGAGTTGGGAGTGGGAGGGACCGTGTTACAGTAGTTCTCCTCCTATCTCTCTGTTCGGTCACAGTCGGTGTTGGCAGGAGGACAGAGGTCAACCCCTAAACCCCTCATTTGAGGGGTGCCTCAGGGCTTGGTCCTCTCTCCCCTCCTATTTAACATCTACATGAAACCGCTGGGTGAGATCATCTGATGATACGGGATGGGGTAACAGCAATATGCTGATGATACCCAGCTGTATATCTCCACCCCGCGTCAGTTCAGTGAAGCGGTGGATGTGATGTGCCAGTGCCTGGAGGCTGTGAGGGTCTAGATGGGAGTCAATAGGCTCAGACTTAACCCAGACAAGACCGAGTGGCTGTGAGTATTGCCTCCTAAAGACTATGTCGACTGTCCATCCTTGGTTCTGGGGGAAAAAAATTGTCCCCCTCAGAACGGGCTCGCAATTTGGGTGTCCTCCTAGACTCACAGCTAAGATTAGAGCAACATCTGGCAGCTGTAGCTAGGGGGATCTTTGCACAGGTTCGCCTGGTGCACCAAAATGTGACCCTACTTGGATCAGGAGGCTCTCCTCATAGTCACTCACGCCCTTGTCACCTCACGGTTGGACTATTGCAATATGCTCTATATGGGGCTACCCTTGAAGAGTGTTTGGAGACTACAGTTGGTCCAGAATGCAGCTGCATGAGCTGTTGTGGGTGCACCTAGATACACCTACATTACACCAATTCTCTGCGAGCTGCACTGGCTCCCTATTGGTCTCCGGGCACAATTCAAGGTGTTGGTTATTACCTTTAAAGCCCTACATGGCTGAGAGCCAGGCTATCTTCGAAACCGCCTTCTACTGCATACTTCCCAGCAACCGGTAAGATCCCACAAAGTTGGTTTCCTCCGGGTCCCATCAGCTAAACAATGCCGGCTGGCGGGCCCACGGGGCAGGGACTTCTCTGTGGCTGCCCCAGCTCTCTGGAACCAGTTACCTCCTGAGATCCGGACTACCCCCACCCTATTGGCCTTCCTGAAAGTGGTGAAAATCTGGCTTTTCCGGCAGGCCTGGGGCCATTGATCTCACTGTTGCAATCTTGCGAGATCTGGCCATGAATGGTGTGCATGGGCTTTTAATGTTTTAAAATGTTTTTAAAATGTTTTTAAACAATTTTTCTATGTTTGCATTATTTTTGCTGTAAGCCGCCCAGAGTCCCTCAGGAGT